GTCACACACTGTACACAGAGCTTTACCGGCGACATCGAGCTTTTTCACGAAATCCGACACAAGCACAATGGTTCCTCTTTACTGTTTCCTACTGGGGACACCGTCAGCTTTCTATCCAACCAGTCCCATCGAAACGTGTTTTTCAGATCCGCATCTATCTGACGCACTTTAGCTTCGTCGCGAGTCTCAATAACATTCGGCATTCGCGAGAAATGGCTTTAGGAAGGCAAACACGGATTGGTTGTGATTTGCATTTGCCGATATAGCGACCAATCACAACAAGTAAGACATCATACACGTCCAATCGCAGGGCTGTTTACAAACGGAAGATGGAAAGACTGATCGGGAGAGCTCGTGAAAACTCGACGATAAGGTACCTGACCCCCCCTAAAATTTTCTCAACGGATTTAGACGATTCACAAAAATGATCAATTTAAGAAATAAAACGGCGGAGTTCCGCGTATCCGTGGAAAATTGCCATCACTGGTTCTAACACCGCAACTAATGATACTGTATCTAGCCCATCTCTTGCATTTTTCATTGTTCCTTAACTGATTCCAGCACACACGGTGTAATTCTCTTAGTTTTATGTTTGGTTTGACAGTAAACTTCAACGGGGAGTGGAAATAAATAGCTTGAAGCCACTAGTGAGATGATTTTGCTGCTACCAACTCGTGTCGTCTTTACATAATTAGTCCTGTCAAGCGATTAAAAAAAATTATGAAATTAATTAATTATGATGTGTATTTAACTGATCTAATTAATCTGTAACTTAATCTCATCTAAAATTGTTGAGAAAACCCCTATTTTCATTTTAAATTCATTAGATTATTGAGGCAGATCAAAAGATTGATATCACAAAAAAAGTGGCATTATAAAGTATTTTATTGTTTTTCAGCAGACTTGGACAGATGCAGTCCTAGCCATTTACTTTCTGTTGTAATTGAGTCTAGTCAAAGTCCTACCTGCAACCTTTCGACCACGAAGGGGAATAGCAGTGTTTTGTTTATTTTTGTAAATCTCCAGAGAATTACAAAATAAAAATTAGAACTAGAATTAGAAATAGAACATCAGATCCATAAAAGTGCCAGATGTATCACAAAAATGCCATTCTAAATATGGACAAAACACGTGCTTCTGTTTTAAAAAAAAAAGTGCTCTTAATAAATGTCATTTATGTATGTATCAAAGATCCTCTCTTTTAAACAGCAAAATAACGACAAACTGTACATTTTTTTTGCCCCAACGCAAAGGGCTCGCTTGCATAAAAGTGACCATTCAAGGACAACAGCAAACCCATATCAAGTGCAAAAACTATCAAAAAATATAATTTCAAATCCACCCAAAAGTTATTAGGCCTGTAGGTCAACTTTAGAAGCAACAAAATATCTCCAAAAACTGATTTGTGCAAAAAAAAAAGTCAAGACATTTTTAAAAAGCAGCGTTTAAAAAAAAAAAATCACTGCAAGTACAGTACACATAAAGCACCCTTTGATGACAATTTGCTGTTGACCAGCAACATGCAACACAAGCCGCCTTTTAAACTTCTCTGAGTGTGAGGCAGACGAGCTTCTTCTGTTGAAGGCCACTTCCAGACATGCAGCGAACAAAGCAAGAGGCCTCCAACAGGTGAGTTTGTTATTTTTAAAAAAGCCGGCAAGCGGAATTTCCCATTGGCTTCATTTTGATTGAAGAGTGCAGCTGTACGCATGTTATAAAAGCCTGCACAATAACAAGTGACAGTGGCAGGCGTGCCACCACTGCACATGACGTCGCGCAAGCCGCTTCTAAAAGTTTGGGAGAGGCAAGTCCTGTTTAACCGCATGCCTACTTCTCGAGTTTTTGTTGCTAAGGCGTAGAAAAAAAAGTAGTGTGTTTCCGGTAACCCGACCGACCGAGAATTTCTACGTCGAAAAAAAACTTTACGGGCGGCATTTTTTTCAAACAACCTTCTACATTTTTGTGTAGAGGGTTTACATCGGTGCAAACTCTCGCGATATTCACGTTGAGCGCGTGCGTCGTTTGCCCTGTCGTCTGTCAACAACATTGAAACATGGCGGCGGCCGCGATCTCCGACGACAGTTTAAAACGCGTTTTCTGTGTTACAGTCGAATGCTCGCACCGTAAAATGAAAATAGCATCCATTGATGTACCGAAAAAATTCAGCGAACTATTTGATGAACACCACAGGCCGAGTAAAAACCGAGGGCAGAGGAGGACGGCGGAGGCGCGCCCCGGCCCCAGAGTCCGGAGCGGGGAGAAAACTAAATAGGTGGCGGCGGCGCCGGCCGCGGAGCAGTGGGTTCAATGTCTTCTTGTTTTATGGTTATTTTGTTTACATTTTTGATGGGGGGGGGGAAAAAAGATAAAAAAATAAATAAATAAAAAACTTTGTCCCACCTACCGACCCTATGCTGAAATTTCATGTTACCGGAAACACACTCTCTTTTTTGTTTGGCCTAATATAATTTTCAGGAACAATTTCTTGAGGTTTTTCAAGATTTTGGGGTGCTCTCGGCCCTGTATCCCACTACACTGGATCCACCCTTGTACGAAACAGCGAGCAAATCCCACCTCCACATTCAGAACCAAAACAAGAGCAAACTGCAGTAAGCTAAACCTTTTTAACACAGTTACTTTAGGATTAATCCTGTTCAAACATCTGAATTTTTTGCTTCAAAAATGAAGCGATCTTTTTTTTTCCACCACAATCTTTCGAAGAGAAATTGTGTTATTTTATTTGTAACTCATTTATTTGTAGCTATAGTATATGAACTGATTTTTTTTATTATTCGTGGCCATGTCAAATGTCATTTTTGGTATATGCAGCGAGCTGTTGAAAAATGGATGATGGGCTGCAAATGGACACCACTGCTTTCATATGTATTCCTCCATGAAAGTAAACTGCTTATCTTTGAGGTTTTTATTTTTATTTTTTTTTCCAAAAATAAGACATTTGCTTTTTCTCTGGAAAACAATGATCAAGATTTTGTCTTATTTAATTGGTGCAACTGCATTTTGCAGAATCAATTTGAAACCAAGTCCTGTAGTCCTGTTTTGGAAGAACGGGATGGAAAGTAAAACTTTTTTTTTATTTCATCGATTAATTCGACAGATTGAGCTACAAATCAAATTAATCGCTTGTTGCAGCACTAATTGTCTTTTAAATTATGCAATGCATTTTTTTAAATTATTGAGTTGGGATCTTCCTCATCTGTAGACAGCAGTTAAAAACATATTTGGTGAAGACATGGTTGCTGCATGTTTTTTTTTAATGAAATGCATAATTTTTGTGATTCTGTCTCTTCAGCATTGAAAGCATTTTGTGAGTGCCAATGGAAATCGGGGCCTTTTTAAACTTTCGTCGTGGGAGTTGATTGATTTTCTACCATCCAAAACTGATAGTTGTTGACTAATTTCATCACATTTCGTTTGAAGCAAAAGACTCTGCTCCGTCCAATTGGACGTGTAAGCTATTTTTAAGACTTCTCAAGGTGAAAATGAGCCGCAACAAAAAGCGTCTGACAGCAGAAAACCAGTGACACTGGTCGAGCAGCTTTAAGTCTGCTTGAAATCTTTTCGAGCACTGAGCGTGCGAACAACTTCATGTGCACTGGTTTGAGTGTGTTGTTATTTACTTACTGTTTGTTCACTTTTGTCCGGTCTGCTACTTGTTGGTTTCTCGGTGCCCCCTCCCTCCGCAAAGCTAGATAGCTAGCTCTCTAGCCGGCTAACTGGATTGATGCTAGCTCGCTAACTACCGTCGACTATCAGCTCGATGCTAGCTGTCAACTTGTTCGGCTTGTTGGCTAAGTTGGAGCGAGTGGGCCGGAGACAACTTGCAAAAATTCCCCCTCTCCCCCCGGCGGCGTGGTGCTACGCCCTGGTGCGACGCCCTGGTGCTCGCTGTGCTAGCCGCGGAAGAGTGCACAGAGCAAAGGCAGACTCGCAATTGGGCGGCAGAGCAGTGACAGGTTGTACTACAACGCTGACAGGTCAACACTTGGGGAACTACAAACATCGAGCAACCTGTCCCGGGAAAGGATTCGGGACAGAAACGTTTCCGTGTTAGTGCCGAAGCGGTGCTGCCACTTAGCGGTTGAGACTTAAATTGACCGGTGTCTTTCTGATTGTCATGTCCATTATGATGATGATCAACTGCTGCAGCATCTCAATTTTCCCTCTTAGGCTCAATAAAGGGCATCTTGTTCCTATTTACTTTTCCAAAGATATTAAATATTAATGCAAATCAGTAATTCTTTAATGAGATACAATTATTCCGAATTAAAAAAAGAATAAAAGCATTTTCATTAACCAATTAGAGGAGAAAAAAATAGGTTTACCAATGCAACATAAAAAAACGTGATTTTCTTGGCACGTATTTGCATTATTTGATTAATATTTCTCATATAACTGTTAAACATAAATAATTAGACACAACACAAGCATATGTGGTATTGTTCTGCCCACAGTAAAAGTTACGGGCCATTTCAATAATGCTAATTGTGTTTTGAATATTCATTTGGTTATCGCGGTTCATTGTGGGTAGCAGACGCCGTGTTTCATCAGACGACTCGTGCCAGAAAGCCTACCGTGATCGTTGCAACTGGTCCTCTTGAGTTAAATCCCTTTTGTTTCACCTTCGAAAGCAATGGCTGTAAGTCTGCTTGTGTTTAGACTTATTTAGAAATGTGTTTCAGAGATCGTTTTACTTCAACTGTAGTCATTGAAACTCGCTAGCTCAGAGTATTCCTAACGACATAGCGATGATGCTAAATCAATGCTAACAACGTAGCGACGATGTTAGGTAGGTGCTAGCGAGCTAATTAGCATGCGAAAGAATCGCAAAAACGCATTGTCATCGTTGTTTGTCACGTTTGAGCTGCATTTATGTCTTTGTTTAAATACCAGACAATTTGTGTTGCATTTATGTACACAATGTTAATGCATGTTTTAAATCTGTTCATTTCAGTTTCACTCAACATTTCATTGAGCTGATGTCACAGTTGTTCACTGTACGCCGTCAAGAAGACCGTAATAAAGGAGCAAGACGCTCAGTTTCCTGGCTCATGAATAAATGAGTTTGGCTTGCTGTTGACCTGCGTTAACATACCCGGAGTATCCAACACGGAGCGATAACAGTACAGTGAAAAGCCATAACAGCAGTTGGTGCAAGAAAGAACCACAACACAGCGATGGACAACGCCCAAGAAGAAACGGCTTACTCCGAAGCCAAATCATCATCGAAGGCATCATCCAAACACTCATCCATATTGTCCTCAAAGTCCAGTGTACTGGAAGCAGCCATCTTGGCAAGAGCCTCTGCAGAAGCTACAAATGCTAAAGCTTCATGCAGGAAAAGACAATTGGAAATCAAGAAACAACAAGCAAAACTGGAATTAGAAAAAGCAACATTAGAGGCAGATCTAGATCTGCTGGAGATGGACAAGGAAGTGGCAGCCGCAGTCCTAGAAGCAGCTGTAGCGATCGAACAAGGCAAAGCTGAAAGCGTCAAGAGTGCAGTCCCACTACAAGCAGTAAGAGAACGAACTATGGAGTACGTGCAACACCAGACCCAGTTGAAGTCGCAAGTTCAACTGGCAAGGACACAATCATTCACCTCAAGGCCACCCGAACAACACCGCTTTCCACCGGCACACAAGAAAACGTATGTAAAGGATGAAACACCTGACATACCAAGAGACTATGTGAAGCATAGTTACCACGCTTCCCCCAATAATGATCCACCCATGGCAGACTTTGCTAAGTTCCTTGCTCGCAGAGAGTTAATCACAACAGGGCTATTTCAGTTTGACGACACCCCAGAAAACTTTAGAGCATGGCAGTCGTCATTCATAAATGCAACCGGAAATGTTGGTCTCACCTGCAGTCAGGAGTTAGATCTCCTAGTCAAGTGGCTCGGTAAAGAGTCCTCTGAACACGTTAAGAGAATCAGAGCTGTATATACCACTAACCCTCAAACAGCCCTCCAGGTGTCCTGGGATAGGCTCCAAGAATGTTACGCTACACCAGAAGTAGCAGAAAACGCCCTTTTTAAAAAAATTGACAACTTCCCTCGCCTTGCAAACAGAGACAACGTAAAACTCAGGGAGCTCGGAGATCTGCTCTTAGAGCTACGAGTTGCTAAAGATGAGGCTTATCTCCCTGGTCTTGCTTACCTCGACACACCCCGTGGTGTTAAGCCCATAGTTGAAAAGTTACCTCTAAGTCTCCAAGAAAGATGGCTTCACACAGGCTCAAAATACAAACAACTATATGATGTATCGTTCCCTCCCTTCGCATATTTTGTCAAGTTTGTCCAAGATGAGGCTAAAGCAAAAAACGATCTGCAGCAGTCAACCCTCCCCCAAAGGTGAGAGACCACCATGCAAACAACCTAGCTACAAAACACCTCTTGTAGTAAACAAAACAGATGTTGACACAGCCACTCCGGATAATACCAAGGAGGATGATCTAACACGCTACTGCCCCGTTCATAAGAAATCACATCCTCTGGC